AAAGAATTCTAGATCACAAAATACAAAATGACAGTCCACCAGGGCGACACCGGCCTCGCTGTTCCTCAAACACACGGCGCATGCTCACGCCACGGGCATTCACACTCACTCTTGCTGCTGTCTGGAGCACTCTGCCCCGAGAGATCCACATGCCCCGATTCCTTGCTTGCCCTAGTCTCTGCTCAAATTGCCATCCTTATCAGATAGACCTTTCTTGATGATCCTATCAAAAACAGCATCTCTCTGCCCCAATCCATCCATCTCCCTCCTCTTTACTTTGTGTCGATATTATAGTTTATTATCAGTCTCCCCCAAGAGAATGTAAATTCCAAGGGAACAGGGACTTGATTTGTTTCATACACCATCACGGTGATACACTGGGGCCTGATATGATTATTTCAATGAATACATCTTCATTGAAATAATCAATAAGCTTTAGCACCCTCTGTATATAGGCAGTAACGCCCTTTTAGGAATACCGCCTATTCCAGCTCCACTGCCTCCTCTGAAGCCCTGCTCTGCAGATCCAGCCCACACAATGCTAGAAAATGAGTGGGAGCCAGATGACCATTTTCAAGGACATCCCCAGAAAGAGGTGTCACCTTCCTGCTCACTTTAGCTATGGTAACAATAGTTTGCCTCAGGTATACGCAGTGCTCCCTAATTTTTAATAATCGCTCCCATGGATAAAATCCTATCTAATCCTTGGAATATCCCTGTAGGATAGGCAGGGTGACTATTCCATAGTAGAAAAAAAAACACCCAAAGGGCTATTAGAAAACCTGAGCTCAAGTCCTGGGGCTTCCACTTACCAATTGTGGAACTCGGGCAATTTCATCTGTCTGGGGGTCAGTTTCCATTGAGTAGAAATGTGGACCATAATACTTATAGTGTTTCTGTGAAGATTAGATGTGATTGTAAAAGTGAAAAAATTTAATTTTTTTTTTTTTTTTAGAGACAGGGTCTCTCTTTGTTGCTCAGGCTGGAGTGCAGTGACTCAATCACACTGCACTGCAGCCTCCACCTCCTAGGCTCAGTTGATCCTCCCACCTCAGCCTCCCAGGTAGCTGGGACTACAGGTATGGGCACCATTCCCAGCTAATTTTTTGTGGAGACAGGATTTTGCCATGTTGCCCAGGCTGGTCTTGACCTCCTGGATTCAAGCAATCCACTTGCCTAGGCCTCCCAAAGCGCTGGGATTACAGGTGTGAGCCACTGCACCTGGCTGTGTACTGAAAATATTCTATAAACCAAAAACCAGGAATGTGAAGTTAAGGCACAGGTAGGTTAGCAAAGGTTTCCAGGTTTGGGGTTCTGGAGTCTTGCAGAGCAAATCTTACCTCCACTACTTGGCAGCTGTGTGACAGTGCATGAGTTACTTGACCTCTCTGAATGTCAGTATTCTTATCTGTAGATTAAAATTGGTAATAGTACCTATTCAATAGGCGTGTCAGGAGGATAAAATGAGATAATACAGCTGGAATGCTGAGTATAGTGCCCAGCCTATTACTGCTAGCTGCTGCTTTTTGTTCTTGTTTGTATCATCATGGTTAAGGCCATTTTGGTGGCAACTCAACGTGATGTACTAACAAATGGCTGGGCTCTGAGCTCAATGGGCCAGTGACCCAGTGCTGTGTCAAGGAGAACTACCATGCAGCCCTGACCCTTAATCCTTTCACCTGCAAAATGGGACCGTAGGTAATCCCTTTCATTGCAAGATTTTTGTGAGGCTGGAATGAAACGACACTGTTGAAGAACCATGTGTGGTAGAGGCTCAGATGGAACGCCAAATTTCATGCAGAGATACGGAAGCTAAGAGGTGGAGGTAGTGTAGTTTCACCGAACAGGTGAGAGGTCACCATGGCTAGATTAGAGCACAGGCTCCTGGTGGAGCCTGGAGATAGGCCAGCAGGGGGAGATTCCAATTCAGGGGTATTGTGTGGAGTGGCCTTTGGGTTATCTACACTCAAAAGACCTCAGGCTGGGCATGGTGGCTCATACTTGTAATCCCAGCACTTTGGGAGGCCGTAGTGGGAGGATTGCTTGAGTCTAGGAGTTTAAGACCAGCCTGGGTAACATAGCAAGACCCTGTCTCTACAAAATATTTTTTAAAATTAACTGGGCATGGTGGTACATGCTTGTAGTCCTAGCTACTAGGGAGGCTGAGGCAGGAGGATCTCTTGAGCCCAGGAGTCCAAGGCTACAGTGAGCTATGACTGTACTATTGTGTTCAAGCAACCAAAGCCTGGGCCACAGAGCCAGACCTTGTCTCTAAATACATACACATATACATCTTATTTTTTTAAAAAAAGATCTCAGAGCATAGCAGTTAAATGCAAAGTCCCTTAAAGCCAGACTACCTGGGTTCAAATCCTGGCCCTGAAATATACTAGCTATGTGACCTCAGTCCCCTGGTCTACACATTTGGAATGATGGCAGGACCTATCTAAGTTGTCATAAGACTTAAAATTGTTTGCCTTGTGCCTCACATATAGTAGGCATTATTATAAGTCTTTGAAAATAAATTTAATTTATGCAACATTAAAATATATGTGCTTAGCCCAAAAAAAAGTGAGAAAAAATAATTTAAATTGGAGCATTTCACTCAATGAGCATATGCGCAGAGTGCAGGTGAGATGGAAGGGGATCTGCTCTTCCCTCAGCCGGCTGCACATGGCATCCAGGGTCTCTTGCTTGCAGTAAGTACGTCTCCCCGAGCACGGTTTTCTTTCAATTGATACAGTCCCTAGAGATAGGTTAATGACTTCATCTGACCCTCAGCAAGTAAGAAAGCAATCTGTTCCATCCTTGGCCTTGCCGGATGGGGAGATTCCACATTGATTTCCAACATGGGGGCCTTCATTCCCATGTGCATTAGTCCATTCTCACACTGCTAATAAAGACTTAACCTAAGAAAGGTCCCTTTCTTAGTTGATTTACTGGGCAGAGTCTGTCTTTGCCTGGTGATGTCAATGAATCCATCTGGGGACAACCAATGGGAAAGGGAGAAGATAGGGAAGTTGGGGAGCTTGGAGGTTTAAAATCCCAGCTTTGTCTCTATCACCACTTGAAAACCTTGAGGACTTAAATCTCCCATTTAAGGCCGAAAGGTTTTCAAGCCATGACAGAGACAAGACTAGAGATTTCAAATAGTAAAGTTATGTGTACCCGCTTCCTGGTCTTTGCCAAGTGTCCACTGCGTGATGCAAATTATCATTCACTTAATATTTTTCTTTCTATTGTTTCTCTTCTTCTACTCAAAACATTTTATTTTAAAAGCCAACTTTGGCAGGGCATGGTGATTCATGCGTGTAATCCCAGCACTTTGGGAGGCCGAAACAGGTGAATCACTTGAGTCCAGGAGTTCAAGACCAGCCTGGGCAACACAGTGAAACCCAGTCTCTACTAAAAGTACAAAAATTAGCTGGGTGTGGTGGTATGTGCCTGTAGTCCCAGCTACTAGGGAGGTTGAGGTGGGAGGTTCACTTGAGCATGGGAGAGCGAGGCTTCAGTGAGCCAGGATCATGCTACTGCACTCTAGTTAGGGAGACAGAGCCAGAACTCATCTTAAAAAAAAAAAAAAAAAGCCAACTTTTGCCACCCTTAGAGCACAATAGTGAACCAGTTTATTATCTTGAGAACTATTAACTAAAGGGAAAGAATCAAGCATTTATCCTGCCTTTTTCACATGAATTATACCACCAGGGAACCAAGTAATAGTTGAAGGGAGGCCCTTCTTAATAAAAGCATTCCCACTAGTAGATGAAAAATAAATGATAGGATATCACCATTTTACAATCTCTAATGAATTAACAGATCTAGGCACCAAGCATCCATCGCTGCCAACATCACTGAGACAACCAGTCATTATATGCCTTCAGATGAAAAAACATGCCATCTGTGGTCTTGCCAAAGAGATCCTAGCTGAGTCTGACCAAGCCTCCAGAATCAGCTTTCAAATGCAGGAAATACAGAAGACAGAGGAAGCATGTTGAGGTGCCCCAAGACTGTACACTCAGTGAAACCCAGACTGTGAAAATGCTACAGGTCACATAGCCCAAGATACGCAATACATATCTTGGGCTGCAGATACAAGAACAGATAAAAGCATTAAAGAGAGAGGGAAATCACTAAAGACATCAAATTAGATGCAAAATACAATAGCATCCCATCTCATATACGGGTTGGGTTCTAAAATCAGTCACTCTACTCAGTAAGTTGAGAACTGGATAGAGTCAAAATTAATCTTGAAAAGTCCCCAAAACATCATAAGTCACCAGGCCATTGGCCCTGAGAAGCCCAGAAGGCATCAATTAACTTTGTACCTCTTTGCATTTGGGCTCCAGCCTCTCCGTTCTTGGGTATGGAAGCCAAGGTCTAATTTGAACAGGGAAAAGGTAAGATGTTACTTAAAGCAGGGACTCTTGCCCTTGCAGATAGAGTTGAAATCACAAGTCGAGAGCAGAAAATGGACAATGCTCCCTTCTCACCATGGCAGCCACGGCTCTGAGCTCGCTAGCTCCTTCCCAGGACACTATGTACCTTCCCTGAGAGTCCCCAAAGGCCGTATTCTGAGGCAACAACCTCCCTCCAAGGAGGCCCATGCAAAGATCTCAGGCAACCTGCAGAGATGTATTCATGCATTTATCCAAAGGGCTGGAGGGCTGAATGAAACCATCTAGAGCCACAAGCTGTGAACCTTTTCACCCAGCTCCTGTCCCCAATTTACCCCTTGCTGTCAGAGAAAGGCCCTGCTCTGTTGATTATAAAACCAATTGCCTGAGTTCCTTTATCTGAGTTGAGACAGCATCTGCCTCAGGGGACAGTGCTTCTCAGTAGCAACCTCAGAACTCTCAGCTGACCTCCCTGGGCCTCACATCTTTCTGTGTCTAGAATGGGAAGGGTGCAGGTATCTCTGTGGTAGGCACTGCTGGGATAGCTTTGGCCAAAGCCTGGTGAAACCCTGCAGGTGGAATACCCAGGGCCTTGGGACAAGTTACCATAGTCTGGAAGCAGGAGTGGAGCTGGGTCAGGAAGGGTGGCTTCCCGGGCAGGGCCAGCACCCGCTTCTCCACCATGGTGCACTCCACGTCATCATCTTGGATTACGACGTCCTTCTTCAGGATCTTCACAGCATAGAGCTCATCTGTGCCTTTTCGCTCTGAGAGCATGACCTGGGAAAGAGAGCAAGTGTGTCAAAGCAGTTGGAAGGAGGCTGGGGGCTAGTTATGAGCAACTGGTGTTCATTCATGGCCACTCTTAGCTTTGCATAGGTGCCCTCTGTTGACTCTGAAACAACAGATAGTGTTTTCCATTGACCTCACAATTTTATATTTCAGATATAGGGTTTTTCTCTGCTGCCCAGCCCAGATTGCAGTAGCATGATCACGACTCAATGCAGCCTACAGGATAGTAGCATGATCATAGCTCACGGCAGACTCCAACTCCTGGGCTCAGCAATCCTCCTGCCTCAGCCTCCCGAGTAGATAGGGCTGGAGGTAAGTGCCACCAGGCCCGGACAATTATTTTTTATTTTTTGTAGAGGCAAGGTCTCACTATGTTGCCCAGGCTGGTATCCTGGCCTCAAGCAATCCACCTGCCTCAGCTTTCCAAAATGCTAAGATGACAGGCATGAGCTTCTGCATCCAGCCCTGACTTCACACTTTGAATAGCTAGACTCAGTCAAGAGAGGATGTTTCCAGGAGGGATGATTGTATTTTGGTCCCTCTGGGGTAACAGTCAATGCATCAATGCCTGGCTAGAAGGTAAGTCCTGTGAGGGCAGGTATCTTTGGTGGTTTGGTTTACTGGTGTAACCCAAGAGCCTGCAACAGCTCCCGGCTCATAGTACATGTTCAATACATGTTTGTTGAATGAGGGAATGAGGGAATGACTGATATAACTGAAATTAGGGCACTTGTTCCTTTATAAATTCAAGTATTTAATGTTCACTAAGAACCTGCTAAGCACTGGGGATACAGCAATAAACAAACAGGCATGTTCTCTGACCCTTAACTCCAGAGAGGAAGAAAGATTTTGCAAATTAATTACAGAGATGATTAATGTAATATTTTAACAGCCTCCCCTGTTGTCTTAGGGCTTTCTTCTTTGAGTTGTGCTGTGGTCATATTCAGGGCCAGTTAACCAGTGTGGTTCACAGACACGTCAGTATTTTCTGCATGTCACCCCCTCTCCTACTCCTTCAACCAGGGGGAACATTCTTTGGTTGTGATTATGCCAGAGAGAACAATGACCAACAGGTTCTCTCAAGAAGCCTTGTAGGAAGCATAAGGCAGAACCACATTATAAAGAGTCTTAACCTGGTGCAAGGGCTTCTAGGAAGGCTTCCTGGAGGAAGAAACAATCAGATTGAAGTATTCACTGCAGGCACTGCATCAGATATTTTGCAGGCAACAATGTTAATCATCACTACATTTCTGGGCACTTTTCTACGGACCAAACAACTCCAGGTTTTCACTTATTGTTATTCATTTGTATTGCGTAAGATCCTAGGAGGTAGGTGCCACTGTGAATCCCATATCGCAGAAAATCAAGACTCAAGAGGGTAGGGGGACCAATTAGGGCCAGAGTTTAGGCAGTTGATGAAATTAGATGCTACGCCCAACTCAGCTGGAGGACCAGAGGATGCAACAGAGACATAAGGCTAGAAGGGATGACACACAGAACAAGCTTAGCAGCAGGAAGGCAGCTCTGTGCACTCCATTCAGCTCTTATTCCAGCATCAAAAGATCTGGCTAAACTCATGCACAAAAGCTTCCAGATCATGCATCCATTCACGGAAGCTTCCGGGCTGAGCTTGTCAGCTCACAGCGTTCCTCTCCTGTCCTCACCATCTTCTCTCTCATCACAGCCAGAGCAGCAAAGGCCAGGCAGATCCAGGGATTTGGGACACCTTAGGAAGAGGGTCCCTGACACGCACTGCCACAGCAAGAGGACTCTTATTAACCTCTTTGTTCCATAGCACCACAATAAAAAAGAAAACCTGGCCAGGTGCGATGGCTCACGCCTGTAATCCCAGGACTTTTGGGAGGCTGAGGCAGGTGGATCATGAGGTCAGGAGTTCCAGACTAGCCTGGCCAATATGGTGACTCCCTGTCTCTACTAAAAATACAAAATTAGCCAGCCATGGTGGCATGTGCCTGTAGTCCCAGCTACTTGGGAGGCTGAGGCAGGATAATTGCTTGAACCTAGGAGGCGGGGGTTACAGTGAGCTGAAATCACGCCACTGCACTCCAGCCTAGGTGACAGAGTGAGACTCTGTCTCAAAAAAAAGAAGAGCTGCCAGTCTGAGTGGCTCCTGCAGACATGTCTGCTTATGTGCATGGCAAGGCAGGTCTCAGAGTGCTACGATGGGCATCTTCAGCTTATTTCCTGCCTATCTCTGTTCTCTCCCTGGTACCCAACGGCTGTATTTTCCTTCCTCAATCCTTACTAACACAGAAACAATGACTCAAGGGAGCCACTTTCCTAAGACGTGCAGCAGAGGCTTCCTGCTCTTGGATTCCAGAGACAGCTGGGACTGGAACAAGTGCAGGGAGGAAGCAGGGAGATGACTTAGCTGGAAGACAAGTGAGCAGAGGGATCGGAGGTGGAAGGAAGAAGACTTTTCAGCTGCAAAACTCCAGAGGCGGGGAGGAAGGGCTTGGTGCTGAGCTATCCTTGACTGTGGACACCCTCTGACATGGTTTGGCTGTGTCTACACCCAAATCTCATCTTGAATTGTAGCTCCCATAATTCCCACTTGTTGTGGGAGGGACAGGGTGGGAGACAAGTGAATGGTGGGAGCGGTTTTCTCCAGACTGTTCTCATGGTAGTGAATAAGTCTCACGAGATCGGATCATTTGATAAGGGTTTTCCCCTTTCACTTGGCTCCCTTTCTCTCTCGTCTCCTGCCATGTAAGACACGCCTTTTGCCTTCCACCATGATTGTGAGGCCTCCCCAGCCATGTGGAACTGTGAGTTCATTAAATCTCTTTTATCATAAATTACCCAGTCTCAGGTGTATCTTTATCAGCAGCATGAAAACAGACTAATACACCCACCCTGACCCATCACCACTGGTCAAGTCACCATCCAACCATCCTGAATATCAGCAACTACCTCCCACTTCCCCAACCAAAAGTAGAGAAGGAGGGGCCCTAGATACCTTCGGTGCAGATGCAGTCATGATAGGATAACTTAGCCTTCTGCTTGGAAGGGCAGAATGGCTGGGAATTTCCCCCTGCACCAGGAACAGGGGTGGACATCCTGCATCTGTGTCAATTATCCCCATTTTATAGATGAACACACTGAGGTTCAGAGAGATTAACTTGCTTCAGATAATGGTTGTTCTAAAACTGCAGCTCTGACCATACCACTTGAATGCTAAAAGCTCTTCAATGGCTCTTGAGAGCCAAACAATTCTATGACTACATCCTGTTTTTTTTCCACTTTAAACATTCGACTCCCACTGTCTATGACGTCCTTCCATGCTCTTGTGTTGCTTTGAAAATCTGAGATTCCACTGGGATGTTACTCCTCCTCTAATCTTGAGGATCCACTTAGATCAAACCTGACACTCCCTCCTCTGGGCACCAGGGCTGCTTTGTAGCTATGTCAGTTACTGTAGCGCAGGCTTTTCCACACTTCAATCATTCATATCCCTTTTTTCACATTTCTTCCTGCCACCTAAACTGTCATTTGCTTAGCATTTTAAAAATCTAGTCACATTTCAACTTAACTAAATTTGAAAAGGAAACTTTATATCACCACTATTAATGGCAAGCCAGTATCACAAGTCATAAATGGAAGATAAGCATAAAAATAAATAAAAGCACAGCAGTGCCAGTAAATTCTAGCTATGTACTGCTGGCTGCTGAAGGTTCTGAGTCAGGCGCTGCATCTTCTCCTTGTTAAAGGAAAAAATTATATTAGAAAGTTGTTAGAGAGCATATTGCCATCAAATGAGATTTTCTTGTTCAAGTAATTAGAAAGAGTAAAAGAAGACACAGAGAATAACCTTATCATAATGTGATTTAATTTTATTTAATAGCACAACTACATAGCACCTAAAACAATCTCAAGTAGCAACTGAAATCTTGCAAATCAGCAATGCTATGTGCTCCACATCTTAGGAAATACTACTGCATTTGTACAGATAGTTTTAAAAATCAATAAACAGGGATACGTGAAGATTCCCAGTGCCTTGTCCTGCCCTAAACAACATTCCCTTTACTGATTAAAGGAAAATAGAACCCATATGCATAAAGCACAACAAAAATTTAGAAATAGAAGTGAACTGAATTCCAGAGGAGCAGTCAGCAAACTTTCTCTATAAAGGACCAAACAGGAAATATTATAGGCTTTACAGGACGATCTGGATCAGGTGAATGGGTGTGGCTGTGGTCTAATAAAACTTTATTTACAAAAATAAGCAGTAGCCCAGGCTCCAATAGTTTGCTGACACTTGTTTTAGAACTAATGTTTCAAGAAGGATCAGGGAAAATAAGAGTAACCACATGATCAAAAATGACTGCAGTTTAATTTGGAAATGAAGCATGCCTTTTACTTCTTCCAACTCTTTGTTATTAGAAGAACCTTCTGATTGGGTAGTAGCCACAGCTGGACACAGCTGATTGGACCAGAGGTAAGTTCCCCACCCTGAACCAAGCCAATTGGATTCCCTCTCCTAAGAATTTGAATTAGGGTACTCCAAGGAGTCAGTCCTGGGTCCCTCAACAGAGAATACGCAGGTCTTCCTAGAGTGGTCCCTTTCGTTTTTTGTTGTTGTTGTTGTTTGTTTTTGTTTTTGAGACAGAATATCACTCTGTTGCCCACGCTGGAGTGCAGTGGCAGGATCTTAGCTCATTACAGCCTCCTGCCAAGTTCAAGCAATTCTCCTGCCTCAGCCTCCCAAATAGCTGGGATTATAGGCACCCGCCACCACACCTGGTTAATTTTTGCATTTTTAGTAGAGATGGGGTTTCACCATGTTGCCCAAGCTGGTCTCAAACTCAGGACCTTTAGTGATCCGCCCGCCTTGGCCTCCCAAAGTGCTGGGATTACAGGTGTGAGCCACCACACCCAGCCTAGCGTGGTCCTTTTCTACCACTGTGTAGGCAAAGAAGAATAAAACAGATGTCTGAGGAGAAAAAAAGAAGGTATAAAACAAGGAG